TTTTCCATGTGTTATTATTGTTACTACCAGGAGTCTTTATTAGCTCATCCTCGATATTGATGCCGATGTCGTATACAGCTTTGAAAGTGTTCAGTGGAAGAAATTTCAGATGTTCCCTATATTTATGAGTCAGATTTTGAATAAAGAGGCGAACCATCTCTCTTTCTTTGGGAGGATCAACTAAGAGTGAAGATGTTTCCCTCCACCTCTTCAAGTAAGCGGTGAAGCCTTCATTCTCTTTCTGTTTGAGAATGGAGAGTTCACGTTCAGAAGTTTTAGTTTGAATGTTACACTTGTAACGATTCATAAAACTGTCGATGACATCTTGCCAAGTCGAAGTATGCTTGGCATCTAAGGAATAAAACCATTGTTGGCAAGCATGTTATAAGGAGAGAGGGAACACCGTAGGGAAGAGTGTTACGTCCAATCCCTTAAGAGCCATGGTTGCAGAGAACGCCTTCAATTGGAATATTGGATTGTCAGTAGGCTTGAACTTTGGAATATCAGCAGTGGATAACTTTTCAGGGAGTCTGTCCTTCACATCCAAAGGAGTGGGAGGCCGTTCCACATAAGTGAAATCCTCAAAAATCTTACTCATTTGTTCCTTCAATTTGTCAAGGGTGGAAACAGTTACCTTGTTTTGTTCCATGGTAGTGACCCTAGTGGTAAGGGTTTGCATCATGGCAGACAGTGCCTCGATGGATTTGTTGATGTTCTCAAGATCGTTTTTAGTGGCCATTGAAAGGTGATAAGTAATGTGGAGATGGCAAATTTCTCTTTGAACGCCTATTAGATCTGATAGATTGTTGCGGTAATGACTCGAACCGTATTAATCTATCCCTGTTCCTTGACCAAGTACTGTGAAATAAAATAATTCACTTAATTGTTTGACTCATTGCTCAAGATAGGAAAGGAAGGAAAAAAATAGACATTGAAAACAGGTGAGAAAACTCCACTCATTTTTTATTATGACGAAAAAAGGGTGCATGAACCTAGTATACGATCATAAACGACCTGGTGCAAGACTCGAGTCGGAACATAAAGAAAGTATGTGGACTATACTTGACTCGTGAGTGACTAAGTGATGTTCTAAGACTCGTGGTATGATCGTATGGCTAGACATGTGAACAATAACCAAAATGACTGACGCGAGGACCAAATTAACACGGAAGACTAAAAAAAAGCTGACTGGACTTATTTCAAGGGCACAGTTACACGGAAAATTGTACCGTGTCACGGTACAAGCTGCCGTGACGCGGTGGTTTTAATTTTATTTTTTTGCTGGAATTCCACCGTGCCACGTTGGAAACTGCTGTGACACGGTGAACTTTCCCGTGGCATGGTGGATGCTGACGTGTCACGGGAAAGTTCACCGTGACACGGGATTTTTTTTTTTTTGCTGAAAATCCACCGTGCCACGGTGGAAATTGCCGTGACACGGTGGATGCTGACGTGGCACGAGAATTTTTATTTTTTATTTTTCGGGAAATCCACGGTGGCACGGGATTTTTTTTTTGCTGGAAATCCACCGTGCCACGGTGGAAATTTCCGTGACACGGTGGATGCTAACGTGGCACGAGATTTTTTTTTTTTTTTGGAAATCCATCGTGTCACGGTGGAAACTGCCGTGACACGGTGAACTTTCCCGTGGCACGGTGGATGCTGATGTGGCACGGGATTTTTTTTTTTTTGCGCTAATTACTAAATGAGTACAGTCCATTGGCAATCGTCAGTCACAAAATATTCCACCATAGACAAAGAAAGATCGTTAAGGTTAGGATCAAAACGACCAAGCATAAAACACGTAGGCACAATGATGCAAAGAATAGTTCGCAACCTAAGGTCAAGTTCTATGTTCGACTATTGTCAGGTTTATTTGGTGTCAATAGGGTACCATGGTTAAGAGTTTGGACGCGTTAGCAAGGCAACCTCCCTTGAGGGTGTATGCCAACAGGCGGCTCCGCGAGTTCGTGATGAAATCGAACTCGACTCCATGGTTTGGGTGGATTTAATAACTCGGATGAACCTTTATTGCCATGAGCGTTTTTGGGTTGATAGAGCTTAAATCCCCCGGGGCTAAGACGCATATAGAACACACACGTTTTTTCTGGAAAATCGAAGGAAGTTGACTATGAGAAGAGAAAACAAGCCACCAGACTGATTTTAGGACTGCCGTGACACGGCAAATTTTGTCGTGACACGACAGTCAAACAATCTGATTGGTGCCCTGTTTTCCTTCGTATGTAATCAAGTTATTCAATTTTTCCTACGGGACAGACCTAAATGTGACGTTAAAACGTCTATGCTTATGCAACAATGCCAAATTAATCACATGAATATTTTTCAAGAATCTTTCAAGTCTCATCCACTAATCTTAATTAAATACCGATCACTCAAATCGATAAATAAACAAGAATCCTCCACAGTGGAGTCGCCAAATTGTAGGCGTCGCTCGAAGTAAGCCTACGTTAAAGCATGTGTGAATACGCTTGGCACTCTTAGGAAGTGGGAATTGACGTATACGATTAGGGACAAGGAAAGTAGGGAGCCGCCAATAAGTTTTTAAGGAACTTGTAAACCGTTCACGGATCATAAAAGGCAACCACGATTAAGGGACAAAGATAAGCAACAACGATTGACCCGTGAAGGTTACACCCCATTCATAATCCATGAGATTACTAACTCCATATGGTTCGGAACCACGAAAGGAGGATCGGGGATGATGGTACGAAGTGAGTCATGGAGTCACATTCGCCCGTATTGGCCTCTACTCGATTCTTATTATTAAAAGTGATTCCTGCAATCTCAAAGGCATACAAACAAAATTCAATTTGCTCCAAACTATTATTATGCTAAATTGGTTTAATATTAATGCAACATATAATTCTAAAATATCAGTGATCACTTGAATTAATAACAAGATTAAAAAGGAACCTAAACCAGTTGTCCAAATTATCTTATTAGGCGTGATTTTTTCAATTAAATATTCCCTATAAACATGCAATATAGTGATCATAATAACAATAGAACAAACATTAATATTGGAAGCAATTTAACAATAATTCTAACAATATAAAATCGTTAGAAAAATAATAGAAATAAAAGGAACATAATTCTTACTTTGATTCTGTTTGCTTGCAACTATGAGTTAGTAACTTCAAGGAAATAATAATAAAACAATAATTAAATTAAATTAAATTAAATAGAATTGATTTGGGGCCAAACCCTCAAACAGTTCTGCCTTTCACGCCTTGCCTTAAGGACAGAACCACGAGTAATGTATGGACTCCTTGGAGTGCTTGAAGAAGGAATTATGAAAGAAGAAGGGTAGGCTAGAAAATAGAGAATTAATTGATGCCCCGTACATCAGAAATGAGGGGGTATTTATAGAAAAAATGTGCTGAGGGAACACACGGAACCCTAAGAAGATAAAAACCCTAAAAAACTATGCCGCGACACGACAAAGTATACCATGACACAGGAAACCCTACCGTCAGACGGGAAACATTCCCGTGACACGGTGTACTTGTTGTGTGACGCAAGAAATATTTAGTAAACGGGGGAGAAAACACGTTAAAGGTTTACGCGGAAAGGACACGAAAACTCCCGTGTCATAGCAGGTGTCCCGTGTCACGGGGATTCCCACCGTCTGACGGGACAGGTTCCCGTGACACGGTGGTCAGCTCCCATGACGCGGGAGTATGTGGTCCATTTTTCCGTCTAAATTCATTTTTAACCCTAATTTCGTTCAGCATTTTAAGTGTCGATTGATAATTTCGGGCCATTTCTGATTTATTATTATTATTTGGGATAAAAAAGAAAATAAGTAAAAAACATAAATAAAAGGTTTGGGCCAAAATAAATAATAAAATAATAAAATAAAAAGGGTTTGGGCTGAAATTAAAAACTATGCTTTGACTAAACATCAAGACTGATCCATGGACTATTGAATTTAATTAAATACAATTTTTTAAGCACTCTCGGGATTAAATACTGAACCCGACCAATAGTGACAGTGAAAGGTTGTTCATCGTCGGGTTTGATTTTGGGGAGACAATTTTAGGTGTCTACAATTATCCTTATGTCTATATGCCATGTTCTATCAATGAACATTTCTTTCCTTTGCATTCGATCATGTCATTCGCAAAATAAAAAAAAAAAATCAATCGCCGTACTGAACACAAGGTATACCAATGATTTGAGGTACCTTTGCAACCTTGTCATTCCTCGTTAACCATTCAAGCACACATTCCATTTCTTCATCAACCACTTTGAGCCTCGTCTAACCTTTGGCCTTCATTTTTTCGACCCACATTCACTCAACCATGGGATTGGAAGATGTGTAAATTGTGTAACATTCAGAAAGCAAGTTCAATTAAAAAAGAAAAGAATAAGTAAAAAAAAAAATTGTCTAAAGGCAAGTGTTCCAATGTCTTCGATATGAACACGTATCAAATTGCGTCTCTCATCGAGTGCTTAGTACCTTGCCTGCACTAGTAGAAATTTTTTTTATTTGTAACGCCCTATTAGTAACTGGCGTATGTTATGATAGTTACGAAAGCATCAATAGTAACCGACTAAAATAATGCCAGTTACAAATTTCATGACATTAGTAACCGGCGTAGTAAGTGTCAATTACTAATATGTGGTTTATCATTATTTGAAGTTTTATTAGTAACTGACTAAATAAATGTCAGTTACAAATATTAAGTCAAAGAAACTTTGACTAAAAAGTTTGTAACTAGCTTACAAACGCCAATTACAAATATTAGGTCAAAGAAATTTGGCCAAAGCATTTGTAACTAGCTTACAAACGCCAGTTACAAATATTAGGTCAAATAAACTTTGACCAAGCATTTGTAACTAGCTTACAAACGCTAGTTACACATTTATTAAGTCAAAGAAATTTGACCAAAAATTTTGTAACTAACTTACAAATGTTAGTTACAAATTTTAAGTTGTTGGAAACAATTTTTTTTTTATTTTTTATTTTTTTTGTTTTTTATGTTTTAAAGAAAGGAAACAATTTCTCTTTGGAAAATTTTTATTTTTTTTTATATTTTTTAAGGGAATTTCTCGTTGAAATCTATCTTTACCTTTCTTTTATACAGAGTATAATTTAAGAGTTGTTTTTACAACTTCTCACCGCAACACTCTAATTATTAAATAGAGCAATTTTATGTATTCTATTTTTTTTTGATAACTTCCTCTCCAACTTCCACTACTTTAACCATATCACTTCCACTTCTCTTATTTTTATTTTTTTTAAATGAAAAAATCTATAACATTATAACTTCTACATAATTCCTTTTTTTTACATATACATATGACATACGTATATTTTCGTATACACTCTAGTTTTCTACTCGTAAAAAAGGAGAACTGTTAACTGTATCTTCTGTATTTCCCCCTTTCTTCTTTCCTCCATTTTTTTCCTGCTTAATTTCTCAAATTAATCGATTAATCTTTTAATTATTTTGATTTTTTATCAGCTGCTACAGCGGATGATGATTTGTGCCCTTTGTTCGATAACTATGGCAAGGTTATTGATCTCTTTATCCGATCCCTCGTGACCGCAGGTTTTTTAGGGTTTTCTCTTAAATTCTCCTTTTTTCTGTAGGGTTTATGGTAATTTTTGTTGATTATTGATTATTTGTCAGTTGATTTGATTTTAGAATTGGTGAATCTCGTGGGTTTGCTTTTGTTCATTACATGTATCAAGATGAAGTTGTCAAAGCTGTTGAAAAGCTTGATGGTTGGTTTTAATTTTTCCCCATTTATCCATTTTTTTAATTGAAATTGAAATTTTCTTGAATTTGGGATAATAATTGAAATTGGGTATTCTTTTAATTGTAAAACTATCGGGTATGTTTTAAAATTTATTACCCCGATTGGGTTTGTTGGGCAGGCAAGGTCGTTGATGGCAGAGAGATAGATACTAGGATAGTAAATTAGTGTAAAAGTGATATCCATGTCATGGAATTGATTACAGCAATCTGCTAAGAAAGGAAAAGTGGTGTCGGTTTGATGTTCATGTCATGGGATTGATTGCAGCAATGTAAATTATTGGTAGCATTACTAAAAGATCCATTGTCCTATTGAATGATTTGACCTGGATTTACCATGAACCAAATTATTTTATATTGGTACAATTCCCTGTTATATGTGTGCCTCGAATGCTCCATGTTGATATATGCTTTAGTATTATGGTGTTTGGAGCTTTAAGCAAAGAAGCATGGCAAGGGCTGACTTAAAATGAGCATATATCAAGATCTAGAAGTGATATTGAGATAATTCAAGTTGGAGGTGATAGCTCTTTTCAAGAGCTTTCCAACGAGTGGTCATAAGCTTCATTTGGTTAAGAATTGAGGGAGTTATGACTGTTTCAAGAAGTGTTGTCCGCACATGGGGAGTTTGACCGAACCATTTATAGGTTCGGTCTTTGGCAGAACTGATGCTCTTTTGATTTCTAGAGTAGGTTCGGTCGAACCTAAGAGAGGTTTGACCGAACCACCCTAAGTTCGATCGAACTCTGTGTAGGTTCGGTCGAACCTTTGAGCCCCTGTTCCAGCGCTGCGATTTCTTCTTATTTCGCTCGGGATGTAATCTTAACCGTTGTTTCATCTTGCACTATGTATACTCTTGTTTTTATTGTAGAGAATATGAGAGAGAAACACAAGTCAGACAAAGACCTAAACTTAGCTCACCAAGAGCACCATCTTTCTCCATTGTAATTCTTCCTCCATTGAAGAGTAATACAAGTTCCAAACTCCCCAAAAGTGGATGTAGATTATTTTGAGTGAACCACTATAAATCTTGTGTGTTTTATTTTGTTCATCTTTAATTGCTTTCTCATTTAGCTTTGCATTGTTCCTTAATCAAATTCAAAGTCCCAAAAGGTCCTATTTCATTAACATTCCCAAGTTGTGAATTTACCATAACAATTATCAACTTGAATTTGCAGATTGCTGCAGGTGTCTCTGGATATCATGCCAGGGCCAAATGATCTTGCAAATTTTATCTGGATGTTAGTTTTGTAAGCTATTTGTTGTTTTCCTTTTTGTCTCTCTAGATGTGACTGTTGTAGTCCTCTGATCATGCTATTGCATTATGGATGAAAGCTTCTAACTTATTACCTCTTGTTCACATCCTCTGATTTAGTAGTTATAATGTCTTTCAACTTTGTTGAAAATTACAAATAGAAGTAGTTTTTAGAGCATCAAGTCTTTAGATTGTGAAGTTGTAAGTTGTTTGGTAATTTGAGTGAGTACTTAAAAGTTGAGTCAAAATGGTTAGGTTTATGACTTTGTAATTTCTATGTTGGGTGATTTTTTCATTTGCATGAGATTGAAACTTTCTTACATATCTTTTTTCCTTTCCAGAAGCAATTATGATTATGCCATTATGAAGGATTGGAGGTCTTGGCTAGAGGATAGCAAATGATCAGCTTGTAGACTTGATTATTTGACGGGGAAGAAGATGTTAATACAGTATGTCTTATTATCATCTGCTTCATTGATCTTGTTAAAAACTTTTATCTCTTGGGGTGTTCAACATCTCTTGTGGACTTGAGGTTATGATCTAGGATGAATGTTGTCTGTGCCAATTGTTGATTCAGCTTGGTATTTTTTCCTATGTAGCACTTTGGTACTAAAGTTAGATTTTTTGCATTTAAGATCATGCTTTTGTATGAATTGTCTGCTAATTATCAATATCTGAAAAATTAAACTTAAATTCCTGCTACGTATTGTTGGGGATTAGAACTTTGATGCTGCAAGATGTCTCTGCTTTGGGATGAATGTTGCTAACATATCGATACCTTGAAATTTTTTCTTTTCATATTTGAACATGTTAGATATCAGCGCTCATAATTAATTTGATGGTGAATTAATGATAAACTGATAACCCTTTCACTAGGTACCCTCAATGGGCATATTTGCTTTAATGAAGAATGAGTCAGCTCAGTTTGATTTATGAAGTGCTATTCTTTTTATTTGATTTCCTCTTCCATATCAAGAAGACAAAAACCTCTTTTTTCAGCCAGTTCTTTTCAAGTCATCTCACTTCTCAAAACCAATGTGCTTTCATAAAATATGAAAAACATGGATTAATTAGATTTGTTGATTAACTTTCTGATTTCTTAAGACTGTACTCTTGTATCCCATAGGCCATAGAACATTGCATTTTTTCTTAGATTTATAAGGTTACTCTCTTACTCTTGCTTGTCACAACATTAGAAGTGAGTAAGCTGAATCCTAATTGTTTTTTCAAGGGATACTCAGATAGTCTAGCCCCAGTCAGGCTGGTTTCATCCATTTCTCTGTGGTCAATTCCTTTCTAATTGCTCTACAACTAGAGTGATCCTTATAGGTATATTGTCTAAAGCCTTTTTGAGTTAGGGAAACTTAGTTAAGATAATTTTAAATTAAGGCTAATATGTTCAGTTACCATTATATCAAGATTATCAACAAGATCAAAAATATGTTTAGCCAAGGATAAGTGAGTTCAGATAAATTTACACAAGGAGTTTTCAGCTTAACTGTATGAAGCCTTATCGGGAAATACCTATAGCACATTAGCACTATAGCAGTATAGCTGGAGAGATTTTCAATGACCCATTCTCCTGCTATTCTGTGTTACTCTACAACGCTGTAACTTATCAGCTCATTAGTTGTATAGAGATTTTACATAGGCAATACTCAAGGGAACTATAGAGTGCAATCTCTTTAAGAAGTATTGATACATCTACATCTTAAGGGAACTGTAGACTATATAGTACATGTATTATAAAGGATGCAAGCTAGAAAACACTAATTTAAAAGACCAAAAGTTCAGGTATGATGAAAACTTTTTCACATGAGATTTATATATCCATTAAGTGTTCTTTTTTATATCCATTAAGTGTTCTTCAATTATCGTATGTATTATTTTGCTCTGATTTTTCATTATTATTATTATTATTATTATTATTATTATTATTATTATCATCATCATCATCATCATCATCATCATCATCATCATCATCATGAATTGGGTTTCTGATTTTTATTTAAATTCAATTAATTGTTTCTATCAAAATTGATGAAAACTTTTTGACTGTATTATTGGGTTTATATTTGCAGGAGTATTTGGTAAGACTTGCAGCCTATAACGATGTAGAATTGGATGAGATTCGAGAATAATGGAGAAAGTTTTTTAGACTTATGTTTTTGTTGAAAGACTAGTTATCTTATTAATCGATGTTATAATTAATCACATTTATCTTAATAAAACAATGTAACACATTCCTATATATCTACTTTTATTTAGCCTATTGGTTATTGTTATTACAATTCTAAATTATAAATCAATGATTTTTTGTATTCAAGTTTTAATTGTTATTTTGGAAAGTATAGTTAATTTTGTTGTATTGTATTGTTGTGGATGAATTCAAGTTGTGTGGAATTATTTGGAGTGTTTGTACGGTATGTTGTGGTTGTGGGTGAATTTAAGTTATATGGAAATATTCGAAGTACGTGTTTTGTTGGTTGAATTGTAACAGGTTGTAACCCATTTGACGATGGGTCGTTTGGTAGGATATACTACCATTCTTGTATTCGAATCAAATATTTATAAAAAAATATTTATTTATTAGTAACTGGCATAATCTAATGCTAGTTACTAATAGTATTTTTTAAAAAAAATTAAAAAAAAATTATTTGTAACTGGCGTTAAGATTTGCCAGTTACTAATAATACCTTGATTGTAACCGACATAAATTAATGCCAGTTACGAATAGTATGCTTTCTTACTTGAAAATAGACTTTTTGTAACTGACATTAGGTTAAGCCAGTTACGAATAATAAATCATTTGTAACTAACATTAGCTGGTTACGAATCACTTTCACTAGTTGTAACGGTGGCATTCGCAACCAACAATGTCAGTTACAAAAAGTCAATTTCGCCAGTTACAAATAGCATTTTTTCTACTAGTGCTGAGAAACATGAATGCTAAGTGAGTGATGGACCGTATGATCTGAGATTGCCTACATTGATTCAAAATAAACAAAAGAAAAGAAATTCAAATAAAAAAATATATGAAAAATAAATTTACAAAGTCCAAATTTTCAAATACACAATTGTATATCTTGGGGGCTTAGCTTGGGTCTTGAGCCTTTTACCCCTTTCTTCCTTAAACCTTCAGCTTAACCATATAACGACCCTTGAAAGACCACTTTGAGGTGTACATACACTAGTGCAAAGTTCGGTTAGAGCTACGTTCGGCCTGATTCCTAACGGATACGTAGGCAACCTCACATCGAGGTGCGGCCACATTCATATTCACATTAATATTCATATCCATGCTTGATCGAGTCAAAGAATATCTAATGCTTACCCCTATCCATCTAGAGCTAGACTTGGGGGCTTGAATAAGCGGACCAATTACAACCCATGTCTGGGGATAAGCGGACAATTTACAGCCCACGTTTGGGGACAATCGAAACACCATTATTTCATGGCGCAAGGTTCTCGATACACAGAGACTTGCAATCCTATTAGACAAGTTTTTCCTCAAGCATGGAAAATTGTCGGTCGTTGTCATCTCTCAAAGCGAAGAAGTCAGCGTTTACATCATAAGTCGACTTTCCTCAAGCATGGAAAGTATCTCAATCGGTGGGTTTCTTCAAGCATAGAAAACTGCCAAAATCATCTGTCGACTTTCCTTGAGCATGGAAAGTATTATCCGGTGGATTTCTTCAAGCATAGAAAGCCGCCAAATTCATATGTCGACTTTCCTCAAGCATGGAAAGTATCATCTGGTAGATTTCTTCAAGCATACAAAGCTACCAAACACGCCAGTCGGCTTTCCTCAAGCATGGAAAGCATTTTAACAAATGTCATCCGGTGGATTCCTTCAAGCATAGGAATCTACCAAACTTATTTGTCATTGATACACTGGTGTCAGATAAGCATTCTATCCCTTTACTCTTTTATCTGCAGAACTAACACTTTTCTACAGGTATCGGCGTATACAGAGTGATTTAGGATCGCAGAACGTCTTAAATCATTCTCCGTCCCTATCGAATACTTTGAATATCGTTTTTGAAATTGACGTTTCTACAAACTCAGTCAAAGTGGGGGCTTCTGTAGACACCTAAAAATATCTCCCCAAAACCAAACCCGATGATGAACAACCTTTCACCGCCATTATTAGTCGGGTTGAGTATTTAATCTTTGAGTACTTAAATCCATAAATCCATTTCATAAACCAACCCAAATCCTATCCCATTTCCCCAAACCAAAATTTATTTTCCTCTTTTCTTGCCTTTTTACCTAAAATAGTTCATTTCCTGTCCTTTAAAATCATTCATTTCGTGTCCTTTTTATAAAAATGTTTAATCCAGTTTATTTTGGTCCATAATCTGGGTCCAATGATTTAATAATTGGATGGGGTTTGAAAAGAGATTTCCAATGATGTATTATCAGCCCAAATCCGAGTTATAACGAATAAGTTATAACCAAAATATTAAACTGAGCCCAAACCGAACCTAAGCCCACCTTACCTACAACCCAATGATCATGTGGAGGGTCCAAATTATTTACTCCCATTTCTAAACCAATTAGGATTAATTAGAAGCTTCTATAAGCTTCTAAAATATCTTAATTATCCTTTTTGAAAAGATAAGATTAAAGAGTTTGAAATTGAATAAAACTTTTCTTTTTGAAAATCCTATTTCTATCCGAATTGAAAGGCGTTCAAAGATAGTTAGATATGATTTTAGTGCCTCATATTTTTTATAAAAAATTTATATGATTTGATAGCCCTTGAAATTATCTTTCCATTGATATATTATAATATCAATTCCGAGCTATAACAGAAAAGATATGAATAAAATATCAAACTATATCCAAAACTGACATTGTCTCACTATTTCGGCCATATCTTTTATTCTATAAAATTCTTTAATTGGATTCTGGGTTAGAAAGTAGACTTCAAAATCTTTCCAACGATATCTTATTTATCTTATTCCAATTTCTGGATAAAAAGATATGATAAAAACAAAAACTACAAAAAATGCAGTCTATCGAGTTTTATTCCGATTTAATTCGGATCTTATATTGTTTTTTCGACCCTTCTTTTTTCTCTAAAAATAGAGGTCATATCTCCCTTGTTTTCAATCATGAATAATCTTAATCACAAAATAATTCTTTTCTCCCTCTTTAGCCTAAATACTAGCCACCCTATTCTTCCATAATACTTCCCCTAAGCACTCCAAGGAGTTCATACAATACCCAAAGTTCTATACTTAAACCAAGGCGTGAAAGGTATAATTGACTGAGGGTTTGGACCAAATCAACTCTACTTTTTGTTGAATTGCTTCCAATATTAATGTTTATTCCATTATTGTTATTTTTAATCACCATATTGCATGTTTAAAGGGAATATGTAATTGAAAATCACGCCTAATAAGATAATTTGGACAACCCGTTTAAGGTCCCTTTTAATCTTGTTATTTAATCAAGTGACCACAAATATTTTAGAATTATAGGTTGCATTAATATTCAATCAATTTAGCTTAATAATAGTTTGGAGCGAATTGAATATTTTTTTTCATGCCTTTGAGATCTCATGAATCACTTTTCATTATAAGAATCGAGTAAAGGCCAATACGGGCAAATGTGATTCAATGACTCACTTCGTACCATCATCCCCGATCCTCCTTTCATGGTTTCGAACCATATGGAGTTAGTAATCTCATGGATTATGAATGGGGTGTAAACTTCACGGGTCAATCGTTGATGCCTATTGTTGTCCATTTATTGTGATTGCCTTTTATGATCCGTGAACGGTTTACAAGTTCCTAAAAAACTTGTTGGCGGCTCCCTACTTTCCTTGTCCCTAATTGTATATGTCAATTCCCACTTCTAAGAGTGCCAAGCATATTCACCACGTGCTTTAATGTAGGCGTACTTCGAACGACGCCTACAATTATGAGCCGACTCTACGAGTCATGCTTTACGATGAAGAGGCAAACTGGGAGGCCATGCGGCTAGAATTTCACTCACCCCCTGAGCGCAGGGGTAATGCTGCCTTGCGTCATGAGATATACCATCTGATAATGACTCGTGCCTACAACAAGAGACTGCACAAACGACCCTTGAAAGTTTGGGATTTTGTGTTACGAAAAATGGAGGCAATCGGTAGGACCAATGAGAAAGGAAAGCTAACCCCTAATTGGGAAGGCCCCTACCGGATCTATGAACAAGTAAGAAACGACACCTACTGACTTGAAACTCTAGATGGCAGGCGGCTACCTAGAACTTGGAATGTAGATAACTTGAAAAAGTACTACATCTAAGCTTGTAAATTTTTGTAAATAAAAAGCTTATCAATGAAGAAGTTAATTTTTGTTTCCAATTTAACTTAATTGCTTTGTATATATATACATGAACAACAATATACCACCGCATGTTGAAAAAACAGACAATCTATTGAATAAATAAGCTAGGTTAAAAACTTAGCGACTAACTTGATATTTAAATTGGTGGACCATCATCTGTGCAATGCACAGACGGGCCCTATAATGAATGAAACTAAGCTAAATTAAAAGACTTAGTGGCTAAAATGATATTCAAACAGAGGCCAATGGACGGATGCAAACTTATTTTATAAATGCGTCTGCTCCTATTTGAGTATGGCGTCCGGCGAAGCCCCTCTAGGTGTTATTGTCGCAGAGGGCATTCTATCGTTTTCTCTACCAGCATATGTAGACGGCAAAGATTGAACGACCAAATTAGTCAACTCATAGCTGACTGACCAAAATAACTGTCAGCCGGTTAATTACGAAAGTTCACTATTAGGCTGTTCAACGAAATTGTACCAGTCACCCTAATGGGGAAGACGAACCAGGTGCAATGGATTGCAGGTATCCCAAATGGTATTTAAGTTGTCTAGGGTCCATCAAACAAGCGGACAATATGTTCCTTGTTCCATTAACTGTCAGGCGGCAATGTCCCCTCTGGCTCACAAAGAAGTTATATGCGAATACCCGGTTGGGGTTGTCGTTGACGACGGTGTACTTGGTTTGGGGAAATCACTACTGTGATTGATTGACTTAGGAATATTCCATACTCTTTAAAGTATCAAACATTCCAAAGTCAATCAATCAAAGAAGTACTGAAACCAATCACACAGCCGCCAGGGGCAAGAGTAGTCGGTATACTATCTGAATTGTCGCATGCTTTAAACAGTTGGGAAAAAATTCAAAAATAAAAATTGCAGAATATACATATGCAAAAATTGAAACAAAATCATAATTTCATTAAACCAACTAAGTCGGCATACTTCATTCAAAACCGGTTTAAACTG